TTTCCTTCCTTACATATTGTAAATCTCTCGATTAATTGACAACGATATGTGATTAATTTCCAAAGTTTTTGAATAATTATCGATTGATTATTACACAAAAAAATTTTGGAATTATTGTTCAGAAGGAGAATACACTAGCATGGTGACGGTTCATGAATTATCTCGCTGATGACATTCAAATTGGTGATGGGAGCGAATGGGTGTTCATGATGGACCCACAAAAGGGGCCAAAACGTTATAGATGAATTATTCCCTAAGGTAGAACATAGGTTTTGTGTCCGACACATGTATACAATCTTCTTTACCACAGGATTCAAGGGTAAAATGTTAAAGGATTTTCTTTGGAGAGCTGTAAAGTCGACGAATGTTGCTGACTTCAGGTATTAGATGCAGCTGATTCGCAATGCAAGTGAAGATGCATACAATTGGTAGATGGAAAGGCCACTACAAGAATAGAGTAGGGGTGGCAATCGAGCTGAGCGGCTTGTCGGCTAGCCGTTCGGCTAATAAAAAACGAGCCACAAGCCGCTTGGGCTCGTAAAAAAGAAGAGCCCAAGCCGAGCAGACCAGCTCGCCCACGGATAGCAGCTCGTAGGTGATTGAAGGGTTTTTTTTTTTTTTAAAGAAAAAAGGAATATTATAAAATTAACGAGCCGCGAGCCGACCCAAGAGCTCACGGGCCGAGCCGAACTCGACCCGTGAGTAATGAGCCGAGCAGAAGCTCGTCTCGTTATAAAGAAGCCACGAACACAAGCCGACCTCATGGGCATACGACTATTGCCATCCCTAGAATGGAGTAAATCTCATTTCTTAGCGTATTCGACGTGTGACATTTTACTGGACAACGAATGCAAGGTGTTCAACAAGACATTGTTGGAAGACCGAGAGAAGCTCATTTGTCAATGCTTACATCAATGCAATCGATGTTCATGACGAGAACATAAAAAAGGCGAGAATAGATGAGGAGGTACAATAGCTGATTGTGCCCAAGGATCAAACGACATTTCGATAAGATTGTTGAGGCATCAACCAACGGAATGCATACTAGACCTATCCGAGTCCAAAATGGCAAGTTGATTGTAGCTATGGGGTGTATGTCATTGATATTCAATAAAGAACTTGTGCGTGCAGAAGATGGGAGTTGACAGGAATTCCTTGTATTTATTCAATGTCGAAATGCACCAAAAGATTATGTTAACAAGTGTTGCACTTTAAACGTATACTTAAGTTGTTACGACATCTTTAACCCCATCAACGATAGGGATGTCAG